CGCATCCTGAATGTCCCGGAGGTCTGTGTCGGCAGGGAGTCCTCTTAACCCCACCTTAGTAGGTTGCTCTTCGCGCGGCGCATAGCAATACCACGCAATGTTGGCGTTCTCTCTGCTTTTTTCGATGAGATATTTCTGTATTTTCCTGTATTCGTCCTCTGTTTGGGGCCGGAAGCGAACCCCCTTCCCAAACGGGCGAACATTCGGGGCGTGTCCGATGATTTGGACATTCCACTGTTATAGAAGGGTATTTCGCCGCTGTCGGCGTCTCAGTGGGTGGTGGTGGTTCTGCTGTACGTGGTGATGGCGGTCGTGTTGTTCTGGACGCAGTCGCTATGCGCGCATTTGTGTCCGGCGCTGTAGATAGCCCCGGCATGGGTTCGGTGTCCATGTCGCGTCTCGGTTGAGATGCCAGTCGAAGATTTTGTTGGAGACGGCGATTTTGGCGGTTGACTATGCCTAGTTATTGGAATTTCTAACTCCCTCTCTGGTGTTGGAGAGGGCGCAGATGACGTGGATTCCTAGTCTGATTCTGACGTGCGAGACCCTGGTTTGAGCCTCTTCTGATTCTGAAGTTCGTCAATTTGTTTCTGGCGGCGCTCTTTTAACCGCTAGGCGAGATTTTGTTGCCAGTTCGAGGCTTAACGACCGATCAGCTCGGCTAACGACGGGCTAAGCGATGGACTCCCAATTCTTCTTGGAATTTGGCTGACCGGGGGAATGATGCGGGATTTCTCAGGATCGAAGAGGTTCCGCTTCATCCTGTCTAAAACCCCTTAGTGCACAGCCCTTAAACAATCGCACATTTTACTCCGCTCAGCGCGTGCAACCACATCGGGTGAGAGAAGTGCTGGGCGGTGAGCGTAAGAGTTCACGTGGGAGTGGGCGCCCATCAGGTGGGCGCGCATGTAGGAGTGTCAGGTTATGCAGGTGGGCGTGTGGCCCGTTGTCTGCGCGGTCGAACAACCGTCTCGCAGTACGGGCCACAAATTCGTGTATAGACTCGATTTTGATGTCCCTGGCTATGAGGTCATTCCTCACATAGCGGCCTGCTTCCACGATCGCTCTGAGCGCTAGATTCTGCTGGACTTGCAGCCTCATGCGCTGTGTGGTTGATGTCAGCACGTACCAGGCTGGCGCTGCGTAAGTCAACCGTGAGCGGATGTAGGTCTTATAAACAGATGTTTTTGTTTTAAGCGGGAGTTTGGATGCTAGTATTGGGTATAATTTCGCTCGTGCGACTCTGGCCTGGACCACAACGTGGTCGACCATAGGGGTCATTCGCAACGAGCGATCAATCTGGCGTCCTAAGTAGGTGACAGTACCTTTCCACCCTACGTCCTGCCCACGGAGTCGCAAGGTTGGTAGGGTGCGTCTCACCCTGGTCGCGAAGGCGGCGGTCTTCCCGACATTGACCGCCATCCTCCATCTGTCCAGCCAATCTGGCAGCAAGTCCAGCAGTCTCTGCAGCTTCTTTGCTGCGAGTTGTACCCGACGAGATGACGTGAAGTACGCACTGTCGTCTGCGTATAACGCGAGCACAAAATCGTCCTCCCACTCCTCCAGGTGACCTTGGAGTGTAGGAATGTCGTTGGTGTACGCCGCGTACAGGTGGGGTGATAGGCAGCTGCCCTGCGGCACTCCCGCTTCAATCGGTCATGCTACCGAGACAGCCTCCTCGATGTTAACATAGAAGCTCCGCCCCTCCAGGAATGACGCTATTAGCCGCACAAGCATTGACGGCAAGGTGGTGATCTCTATTAACTTGTGAAGTAGCCCTGCGTGCCACACTCTGTCGAAGGCCGTCTCCATATCTAAGAAGACCCCCACACAGATGCGGCCGCGGTTGTGCTCGGCCGCAAGATGGTGCAGCACGCGGGCCAGTTGGGCTGTGGTGGAGTGTGCTCTGCGGAAGCCAAATTGTTCCTCCCGCAGAGCAACGTGCGGTAACATGCGATGGAGGGTAATTTTTTCAAAGAGTTTGGCTATATACGGTAATAGCGTTATGGGGTGGTAGCTAGCCGGCTATCTCCTATCCTTACCCGGCTTTGGTAGCACGACTATCTTGCCCTGTTTCCAGTTTGTTGGGAAGTGGCCAGTTCTTAACACGCCGTTGAAAAATCTGGCCACCTCTACAAATCCCCTTCTGGGCAGCTGCTTCAAGGCCATGGTTGTAATGCCGTCGCAACCCGGTGCTTTGCGGTTATGTAGGCGCATGATGGCGCGCCCTCCGCAGGCGAGATGAAGTCTTCGCCTCGCAATAGTGGTGCCGGGTGCGACAGGTATTCCCGTACGCGGTTCTCCACCCTCGTGGTGTGCACCGCGTACCCCTCTGCAATGGGATTAGGTGTAAACTGTGATTGAAGGTGCTGTGCCATCGTTTCCTCCCTCTGCTGGGCGTCGTAGAGTCTTGTCCCCGTGTTGTCCACTTGTGGGCAAACAGGGCAAACAGGTGGTGTTTTGGTGAGCTGGCGGTTGAGGAAGTACAGGGAGGCGGGTGTCTCCGAAGCTTCATCGATTCGCCTCTCCCATGCCTCTCCCCTGTGCGCTCTAATCGCTACCAACAGCTCTTCTGTTGTTCTATTTAGTTGGGTTTTAATATGTGGGCACCGTGTTTGTGTCCACAGCTTTTTCAGCATTCTTTTCTTAGAAAGCTGAAGTTGTAGTTTATGAGGGAGTACCTCCCCCCGGCGCCCCGTGGAGACAGGGTGTGAGGAGAGTTCCAGTTGTTTGTTTAGAATGGCGTGTAGAAACAATGCCGCTGTCTCCACGTCTTCTTGGGTGGTAATGGAGGCGCCGAGTCGGAGGTCCTCCAGTGCTTTTCGGAAGCGTGCCCAGTTCGTCCGCATTTTTGGACCTTTGGGCACTACCGCGTCCGCATCGGTGTCTATAGTGAACAACACGGCGAGGTGCTGCGTGTCCAGATCATACAGCACCTCTAGCCGTATCCTGAACGGCATTTAATGACACAACACAATATCCAGGACATCGGGTTGATGATTGGGATTGGAGGGGATGTGGGTGGGCTCATCTGGACCCAGTACCTCATATCCCCACTCTTCAGCGTGTTCGAAGAGTTTCTTACCAGGAGGTGTGATTATCGCGAAGCCCCAAGCAGGATGTTTTGCATTGAGGTCTCCAGCGATAATTGCAGGTGTTGTTGCATTGAATATAGTACTTAGATCCTGGGGTGCTAATGAGATACCGGGAGGTCGGTAAGCGGCGAATAACCTCATATCCGTTGTTCCCACCCTCATCCTTATACCCTTGGTCCCTCATGGACACGAAGTCATATATAGTGTCAACTTCCTCGTGCATGACGTCTCTCCTCACAAGGGCCGCAGTACCTCTGTACGCGACACCTTCTGGGGAGATCTCGTCGTGGCGATACACGAAGAAGTTGGGGAGCTTCAGTTTTGCAGAGGGGTGCAGTTTAGTTTCTCCCAGCAGTACAACCTGGAGTTTGTACTGCTGGACCAACGTGCGCAGTTCGGCTACCTTCCCTGTTATGCCGCCGGGGTTCCAATAAACTATTTTAATTTCCCTGCCCTCTGCTGATGTTATTCAGTTGGGCTAAGGTAGTAAGGGTTGCCGCTAGTGGGTTGGTACCTGTGGTCATAGCAGTTAGGACCTCTCCCAGGATTTTAATGACCATACCCACCAGCTGTGCGAGGGCCTCTTCTATGGTGGATGGTACGTTATGTATTTGTGGTTGGGATCTGGGCTCTACTGTCCGTCTTTGGAGTGGTTCTCGGGGTTGGTGGGTAATTTGCACTCTCTGGATTTGGGCAGGGAAGGTCGCTTGGCGCGACTGCTGTGGCCGCTGCTGCGTGGTAGCAATGGGGGAAGGAAGTGGGGTAGATGTGCCTACTACTGCTACATCCAGTGTGGCCGCCTTCTTCTTCTTCTTCCTCCCTTTACTCTTTTTTTTTTTGACGCTCTGTGCGCTCAATGGGGTCGTTTGCCGGTACTGCCAAGGTTGCCCCAGTTATGACGACCGTTGGCGCAGGTGCGGGTCTGGGTAGCTGTTGTTGCCGCGGCTGCTGCGCCCGCTGCGGCTGGGTGTGTATTTGCGGTTGTGGTTGCAAATTTTGGTGTTGTGGTTGTGGTTGAGGGGCCCGTGCTGCTTGCGTGGGCATTGGGGGCTGTAGGTCTATGCCCCTCTTACGCGCAATACGCTGCAGCACAGGGCACCGCCTGTCGTTTGCCGCGTGAGCCTTAGCGCAATTTGCACATTTCGGTTGTTCGTCACGCAGCTTGGGGCATTCAGATGCTGCGTGATCGCCTGCGCAGCGGACGCATTTTATAGGTCTATAGCAATTATAAGACGCATGCCCGAATCCCTGGCATCTATGTCATTGGGGAAGGCCGACTTTACCTTGCCAGCCCTCTATTGAGATGCCGGGCATGTAGAGCAGTTCGTCTATTGCATATAGCCTTTTTAATTCTTCAGGAGGGAGGTGATTCATTTCTACGTGAAAGAGGCAGCCTGGTCTGCCTCTGTTAGGGGGAATTGAGCGCACGAACATCACCGGGAAACCTTTCTCGATGAGGGCCTCCTTGATGTCTTGTGGCTCGGTATCGGCTGGGAGCCCTCTGAGCCCCACCTTCGTTGGCTGTTTATCCTGTGCAGCGTAGCAATGCAAAGGTGGCATCCTCTTTGCTACGCTCAATGAGGTATCTTTGGGTGGTACGGTCTTTATCGGATTGTGGCCGGAACCTGACTCCCTTCCCAAATGGGCGGGCATTCGGAGCATGGCCGAGAAGTTGATGTAGGATTTTAAAATGCTTCGCCCAATTTGGGAAGCATTCTACTATTATTGGTAGGTATTTTACTTGTGTTGCTACAGGCTGCTGTGGCCTTGGCTAGTTAGTAGTGGTGTGGGCGAAGGTGGGGCTGTTCTAGGCGCGGCAGCTATCCGTGCATAGCTGTCCGGCACCGAGGATGGTCCAGGAGTGGGTTCAAATGCCATTTCTTCTTGCACTGGGGCGAGGGTGGCTTAAGATGTGCTATCAGAGGGTTTCTCCCCTTCTGGGTACTGCTCCCCGAAGTCCTGCATCTCAGATTGCATGCAGGTCGGGGAGGTAGTGGGATATGGTGACTCAGGTGGCGAGTTATGCCTCGTCACCGGCTGTTTCCGCGGTGGAGTGGGTGTGTCTTTCGAGGTGGAGGCAGAGGTTGAGGCTGATGCCGACTCGGATACCGAATCCGAGCCGGCCTTCAGCCTTTTCTCCTCCTGCAGATCTTCCTCTTCCAGTTCTGGGGGAGTACATCTTCGCGAGGCGATGTTCCGGCGTGGTAGTGGTGCCGGTTTGGCGATGGGTGGAGGCTCAGCTCCACTAGCGCCGAGCGCGACACCAGTGGCCGGTGGGCTCCCTTTACGCCTCGGGATTTGGCTGTATGCGGGCAGTACTCGTGACTTGTCTGGAGCTAAGAGGTCACGCTCCATGAGAGGCCTATCTAGCACGCTCGGTCGCCTATCTGGTGGTTTACGGCGAGTCGGGGGTGGTTCCCCTTTGTCCGACATAACGTAGGTAGTTATATATCACTTCGGTATAAAATAGGGTAGTTATAAAAAGATTTTAAAACAAAAAAAGAGCTACCCTCTTTTTTGTTTTAAAATTTAAAATTTTTGAAAAAGTGGGTAGGAGTTAAAACTTTGCCCTTGCTAGCTATCGCACACCTTACTCCCCTCGGCGCGTGCTACCACACCAAGTGAGACCCGTGGGGGAGGCCCAGCGAGGCGCACGCAAGCGGGAAGGGGTGTGTGAGGCGCAGATGGATTTGGGCGTACTTTACTTTGTTAACACTTTTTTAAAATAAAAAGTTAAAAACAAAAATGTGGGTAGCTCACACACACACAAAGGTTGAATTCTTTGTGCTTACTAACCTTATTAATCCGTCTCGGAGAATGCCAGCGATGCCTCAACGCCTCACGGAGTGATCTCAACGTTCCGGCGGAGTCGTCAACTGGCAACACGTACACTTTATTCACAATACACGGAGCGAATTTAGGCACGTCCGCTCGCTAGCGCGGTCCGAGGCGAACTATGCGAACTGCGAGCTTCGTATTGTCATCTGCACAGACTACTTGGGTCCTGCAGGTCTCGGGCCTCGGGGTATGCCCCCATTACCCGGCTTGTCCTCGCTGTCCATCACCATGGTCCGGTTCTGGTAGACCTTTCAGGCGTTGTTAGTTATTCGGCTTTTAGTCCGTAGTTGGTAGAAAAATTTCTTTTAGATAAGACTACGAAAAAAAAGGAGGTTGTCTTGGGGTGTCTAAGTTGGCCTATCAGCGGCATTGTGGGCTGTTACTCGACTCTCTAATCGATATAGAGAGGAGTTCTCTTGGATAGGGTCCCCCGTCCGGTGGACGAGTGTGTAGCGGCGCTAGGTTGTTGAGGTGTAAGTGTGGCCCGTTGTCGATCCGGCACCCAAGGTAGGTCACGGCCTTCTCGTACGCGATCTTCTGGCCATTGAGGGTTAGCGGAGGTGTTAGATTCCTGAGGCGGCGAGTGAGCAGAGCGGTCGTCTTACCAACGTTGACGACCATCCTCCACTCATCTAGCCATGGTGACAACAGGTCCAGCAGACGTTGCATCCTGGCAGTGGCAATCTGGGCTCTTCTGGACGAAGTGAAGTAGGCGCTATCGTCTGCGTATAACGCCAATTCCACGTCGTCCTCCCACTCTTGCAGCCTTCCTGCCAGTGTAGGGATGTCATTAGTATACGCCGCGTACAGGACTGGAGACAAACAGCTGCCCTGAAGAACGCCGGCTCTGATGGTTCTTGTTGCGGACTCGGCGTCCTCTACGCAGACGTAGAACTTCCTGCCAGCCAGGAAAGACGCCACTAGCTGTAACATAGCAGGAGGGACACTGGTCTGGTCTTCTAGTTTATAAAGTAGCCCAGAATGCCACACCCTGTCGAACGCCTTCTCGATATCGAGAAAAACGCCCAACGATGTGCGGCCACGGTTGTACTCGGCCGCAAGCAGGTGCAGCACTCTGGTCAGCTGTGTTGCTGTTGAGTGATCCCTCCTGAATCCGTGCTGCTCCGTCCGAAGTTGGATGCACGGACGGAGTTGTCTTAGCAACAGTCTTTCTAGCAGTTTAGCTATGTGCGGTAGCAGCGTGATCGGCCTGTAGCTGGCAGCTCTACGCCTGTCCTTCCCGGGTTTCTGCAAGACGATGACTTTGCCTTTCTTCCAGTCCTCCGGGAAGTGGGATGTCCGCAATATCCCATTGTAGAGTCGACCAAGCTCTACTAGGACTCTATTGGGCAGCTGTCGGGGTGCAGCGTTGGTAATCCCATCGTGCCCAGGCGCCTTCCTCGGTTGCAGGCGGGTTATGTCCCCGCAGTTCAGCGGGGGAGATGAACCACTTTCCTGCAAGCGGTGGCGCGGGCGACGACGGGAACTCCTGTACGCGACTCTCCTTCCGGGCATGAAGCTCCATGAACTCCGCACTTGCTGGGTTCGGCATAAATTGCTCCTCGAAGTGCTCTACTAGGATATCCGCTCTACCCTTGGCATCGTAACGACGTTCGCCCGCGTTGTTGGTCAGCGGGCAAACGGGAGGTTTGGCTTTAGTTAACTGTCGGTTCAGTTTGTAGAGCGACGCATCGTGCTCTTCCGCCTTCCATATGCGTCGCTCCCAGGCCTCTCCTCTGTGTGCCTGGACTGCAACCGACAGTTCCTCCGACAGGGTGTTCAACTGCGTTTTGATTCTCGGGCAGCGAGTACGCGCCCAGAGCCTCCTTAACGCTCTTTTCCTTCTGATCTGCACGCTTATCTGTAGCGGCAGATCGTCTCTCCTTGCAGTAATCGGGACGATCGTAGAGGCAGCGTGGAGTGTCTCTTGTATCGCCTTAGTAATTCTAGTAGCAGCGGTCTCTACGTCGTCCGCTGTGCTTAAGGGGTGGTGTGCTGGAGGTCTCTCCTGCAGGTGTTGTTGGTAGAGCCTCCAGTCGACACGTGTCTTAAATGCTCTGGGCGGCGTAGTCACCGCCTTTAGGCCAAGGGTAATCAAGATCGGGAGGTGCTGTGAATTAAGGTCGTACAGCACCTCTACCACTATCGGGTAGTTGACGTTCCTAGAGAGCACGATGTCCAATACATCCGGACGTTTCCGTGGATCTGTCGGAACGTGTGTAGGTTCTTCGGGACCTAAGACGTCATAGCTGTATATTTCAGCGTCTTCGAATAGTGCATAACCCGGCGGGTTGATCACTCTAGATCCCCACGCCGGGTGTTTGGCGTTTAGGTCCCCGGGAGTTCGTCGACTTGGTACAATTCGTTTAGGCGCTCCAGGCTCATGTGGGCCAGCTGCGCAAAGTAGAGGTACCCAAGTATGCCTCTACGAGGGGGGATCCCTTTTACATATTTAATCGGGAATCCCTTTGCCCTGATAGCTCCCTCTATCGCGGATGGATCCGTGCCCACTGGCAGTCCCCGTATGCCCACTTTTGTGGGCTTGTCCTCTTCGGGTGTATAGCAGTACCAGGACATGGCTGGTACTTTATCGGTGATCTCAATTAGGTACATTTGCACCGTCCGGAATTCTTCCGGACTTTAAGGGGTTAACCTAACCCCCTTCCCGAACGGACGAGCATTAGGTGGGTGACCCAACTTCCTGTTGAGCAACTCAAAATGCTTCGTCCAGTCCGGGAGGCACTCAGCCACTATGGGCGGGTATCTTTTAGATGTTTCCTCATCCGGCTTGGTTTTCGGTGCCTCCGCTGTCCTGGTCCTTGGTACTGCTGGGGCAGCTGCCAGTTGGGCGTAACTGGTCGAAGGCCTTTGACTATCGTCCGATGGCCGGCCTGACGGGTTGGTGGTTGGCGCGGACAATGAGTGCCCGGCAGATGGCGCTAGGGTCGCATACGTGGTATTGAAGTCCACCCGTACGACCCTCCTCCTCCCTGCACCAGATCAACAGCATCCATGCTGGAATGGTGATCCGGTGATCTGGGAGGGGTTGGTTTAGTCGGCGATGGCGATTTAGGTGGTGATCTACGGATGGGCCTCTCCGGTTGTCGGTCGCTTTCTTCCTCGGATGCAGAATATTCCGAAGAGTAGGGGGATCCGACGCATTGCCTCTTCTCTTGGAGGGATGCTGCGGTTTCGGGTGGAGTGTGCCTTCGTGGCGTTTTCTTGGACCGCTGTTGCTGGGGCAACGGTTCACTCCCAGTCGTACGCTCAGGTACGATGGGCGAGAGCGCGGCCCTCGGTGCAGGCTCTTTTACCGACGACGAAGGCTTAAGGGTCGGGATCTGAGAGTAGGAGGACACTACTATAGTCCGTTCCGGGTTGAAAATATCCCTGTACGCTATTGGTCTCTCCAATAGGCCAGGACGGTCCGGTGGTTTTCTGGTTTTGGGTGGGGGCTCCCCCTTGTCCTTATCAGACATGATGATAAAAACCTAAGGTGAGTCAGGTAATCTAACTAAGGCCCCGTCTAAAATACCAGCCGATCGGCAGCGATGCGCGACGCGGATGGTAGGGATGGTAAACGTTGGCTTAAACACTTAGGGCACTGCCTACCCCTTTTATAACAAAAGGGTTGGGGGAAGTGCGGTGGTGGCACTTTAAAAATGCGACTAGGCACAGTAAGCACGTAAAGTTTTTTTTCGCTTTAAAGTGCCTAAGAATCTGCCTAGAGGCCGGTGACCTCGACGCCTCACGGAATCAGCGGACTCGACGATCGGCGGAGTATGTCGTACCGGCGGTTGTATGTGCTCACTGCTAAACACAAACAACTCAAACCTAGGAGATTCTTGCGAACTGCAAACAAATCGCCTTAGAGGTATACCTTTTTGGCTATACCGTAAAGTGGGCCGTGTGCAAAAGCTTCCTATTTCGCGCGCATTTTTTATTATCGCATTTCTCTAATTGATAAAATAACTTTATTTCTCATAAAAATACATAGAAAAATTATGTTTTCTTTAAAAGAACAAACAAGATTATATACATAATAAAAACAATAAAACACATACATTTTACAAGCCATTAACAAAATACAAAGCATTATTATGTAATTTACATCTTATCATATATGTCGGAACGGAAACCTCGGGGTTGTTTTTATGGTGAGGCAGCACCACTGTCCCCATTTGACAAGGGTTCAGTCATGCTACCGTATATTGTTTCCATTGTAATGAAAGAGATCTAAGATCATACACTTTTAATTTTGCACTACGACAACTTTCTTCTACACTCCTTGTTATAAAAGCTCACAAATAATAATCACAAATTTTTACAACGAAAAAGGTCTGACATCACACAATTTTAATTTTATACTACAATAACTTTATTCTACACTTCTTTTTATGAAAACTCACAAAAAATACTCACAAAGTTTTATCATGAAAATAGAACTACACCGACGAGCGCAAGAACTGAAGTAAGTCTATTCCAACATACAATAAACAATAAGGTAATAACCACTTAGGTGTGCTCTGATTGGTCTACGATTTGATTGGTCAATATTTCACTAAACAATAACTTTTTATTGAATTCATTAGGTT